TGACCAATCACAGTCGAATGTGAGAAGAATAATCGACTGTGATTGGTCAATTTCTTACTCTTACTTTTTACTCCGTGTATTGTAGACGACGCCTATATAGTGGGCGCATTCAGCTGACTCAACAGTTGAGTGAGCGCTCACTGTTATTGGTGTATTCTTTTAGCTCATCCAATCAGAATTTTAGACTTAGAAGAATACATCAATAGCAGCAAACGCTTACTTAACTGTTGAATCCGCTGAGGCGCCCAGTGTTTCCCTGAATCTAGTCTTGGTCTGTTCGTGCTGCTTGAAATCCCTCAAACTTTTAAACTTAAAATGAGATAGATGTATATTTGGACGTTAAAAAGAGAGAAAGCGAAGATGCTGGGGCAAAAAGTTCAAGCAACGCATACAACCTTTTCTCACTTTTTTTCGAAACATTCGAAAATGTAATTGATTAGTGTGTCACTGCATGTGTATATGATGTGTATATGTGTATAAATGCATTTGCACTTTGTACTTTGTACTTTTTAGACTTTATTTTAGCTTCGTACTTTGTTGTATTTTATTTCTGTTTGTCGAACATTTGGGACATGGCAATAAATATCGTCAAGAATAGTTTGGGATCATTAGGAAAATGTAAGTTATATAGATAATATCCTTTCCTAATTAGAACAAGTCACAACAATAACAAAATAATGTTAAAATAAATCATAAATGTTCGAAAAATCACATTTAGTGATCATTTTGAAGTCATTTTAATGTCATAATTCATATTTCTGCTTAAGTAATAGTTTTTTCAAAACTATTTAGCATACTGTTTTAAAAGCCCCCAATAATATGTATACCTTTAATTAATTATATGATCAAATGTTTCTTTTCTGTTATGTTTTTTTAAATTAAACAGTTTTTAAAACAAATTTTTCTCTATTATATAAATTTTAGTTACAGAAAGCTATTGTGTAATATTTATGTCTTTATTACTGACATCTTGTAGATTTACAAGCTGCTTCAGCACTGAGATATTCTACGGAGATGTCACCGACGTATAAAACATTAATAATAACTATTCCAAAACCATTTGTTTACATGGTCAAATTGAACAGACCAGAAAAACTAAATGCAATAAATTCAACTATGTGGAAGTAGGTGATCTCTTATCACTCCTGTCATTTCATAATTAAACTGTAAAAAAACTCTTATATTCTTATGAATTATTTTCATTTAGAGAATTTAAGGAATGTTTTGAGGGATTGTCAATGAATCCAGATTGCAGAGTAGTTATTCTGTCAGCTGCTGGCAAGTCATTTTGTGCGGGTAAGTTATAAAATAGCTATAAAGAGTATTACATATTCATCTAAACCCTGAAAAAAAGTTTATTTCATAATATAACAACCTGATGCGTGTTGCAGGAATTGACTTGCAAGGAATGATGGACATGGGTCAAAGCTTAGCAGAACATGAGGATATTGCACGCAGATCTAAATTAATAGGGTCTAAAATTAAGGATTATCAAGATTCATTTACTGCTGTAGAAAAGGTAATTTGTTATTCATAAAGATAATGTAATTCATAAACATATATTAAGTACGATTGGTGTATTTTATATATTCTAGTTTTCACTGAGAGAATGTTTCATTATATCTCTTTAACTTGTATGATTAAAGTAATGATACAGAATAATTTTAACAGTGCTCGAAACCTGTGATAGCTGTTATACACGGTGCTTGTATTGGTGCTGGCATGGACATGATATCTGCAGCTGATATACGTTATGCTTCTTCTAGTGCATATTTTCAAATAAAGGAAATTGATATAGGCATGGCAGCTGATGTAGGTACACTTCAGAGATTTCCAAAAATTGTGGGATCTGATAGCTTGGTAAGAGAACTTGTCTATACAGCACGAAAGTATCCAGCTGCTGAAGCACTAGAAAGTGGATTCATAAGTCGCATGTTGGATAACGAGGAGAGGTAAAATAATAAATACATTGAAATATAAGAAGTTAAATACAATAAATATAAGTTTGTAATGATTATTCAAATAGAGCGATGTGAATTTTAATGACATTATTTATATTCTCTATTCAGCTTATTGAATAAATCAATAGAAGTTGCTGAAGATATTGCAAGCAAGAGTCCAGTTGCGGTGCAAGGTTCAAAGATGAGTTTGGTATATTCTAGAGATCATTCTGTCAAAGAGGGATTAGATCATATTGTGAGTGCTTTTTTTATTATTCCACCTGAAATGCAATAAAAAATTTATTTGTTTGCTATAAATATAAACACATATTTTCTTATACTTGAAAAGTTGTTTTAATAACATATTTTTGGAATTTGTTTCAATAGGCGATGCATAATAAAGCAATGCTTCAAAGTGAAGATTTTTTGAATGCAGCTATGGCACAGGCTGTTAAGGGTGACCCTCCAATATTTTCAAAGTTATAAATTATTTCACTCTTGAGCTTAATGTTCTTGATACTTCCAATGTGTGTTACATCGACATTATTTATATCAATGTTATATTAATGTTAGATATAAAAATAATATATGTATTTTTTGAAAATGTATTTATATTACAAAATATAGAATAATTTTATGTAATTTTTCTAATCACAGATTTTAACATTTTTTATACTTTGATATTCCTCTTTTATGAAAATTATTTCCACTAAAATAATACATATATTTTTATGTCAGGTAGTCTCGTTGAAATAAAATGCTTTCCCATCTGCGCTTTACAGGCAGTTTTGCCAATTTCGCAGCTTCCATTTCATCAACAATATTATATACATTGATGTCTTCGGGAATTTTTACCTATAATTTGTATATTTTAGATGGAGATCTCAAATGATAGATTCAATAACACGACAAATCTTTCAGATAAAGGGTATACTCCTGTCGAAAGGAATCTTAGCAATATTAGAAATAAATCTATATTTTTACACACGATTAGCAAATTGATGTAATGTTCATAATTAATTTTTCCAGTTTCCGCGTCGCAGGCTACGGCCATCATATCGGCCACTTCTTCTTTTGTAAATGGCTCTCCAATTTCCATAATTGATTTCTCTAAATCATCTTTCATGATATATCCATGATTTTCAGGATCTAATAATTGGAATGCTTTCAATAATTCTTCTGGTTCTGCTGGTTTGAACCTAGGTAACGAGCAAGTACAAATCATTATGTAATATTATCCATTTTTCGATCATGCATCGGCTACTTATTTTGATAATGAAAAAGATTTTATTTTTAACTGTACTTGCGTTCATTGATTGCTTTGCTCATGTATTCTACAAATCTGTTTATTGGCACGCAATTATTCTCGACATCTTCAACTTCTACTTGAATTTCTTGTAACTCAGCTTCTGTGATAACACATCCTGTTAAATAAGTAATAAAAGAATTTGAATTGTATGTATTCTACAAAAAAATGTATAAAATTATTAGAATTTTTATATCGTGAACATTACCTAATGCTCTAATTATAGTTCCCAAATCTCTAACATCTACCTCTCCACTCCTAGCATTATCAAACACATCAAATGCTTCGTAAAGTCTTCTTTCTAATAATGATGGTTCGATAGCCACTAAGTATATAATATAAAAATTGTTAAATTGTTAATTATTAAATTGATACAATAATTAATATTGAGATATACTTACTGTTATTTTAGAAAATCTAATTTCGAAATTTTTTAAAAAGAAATAGAGAGTAGAGAACAATTTTCAAGGAACTCGATATGATTAGCTTTCAAGAATTGTTTGATCAATAAGTAATATGAAATTGTAATCTCTGGGAAATTCTTAGTCTATAATAGAGCTTTTTCACATAATTATCTCCACATAAGTCATATATTTGTTTTAAAAAATTAAGAAATTTTATTTTACATTTGTACATATTAATTACAAAATCTTTGACTAGTACGTACATTTTTCAGTTTCTCTTCGTAAAGTTAACCGTCTTTCAATGATACTCTTTCTGGGCGATAACGAGGGCAACGTAGATAGTCGACTCATTTGGGAAGATGTCCTCACCAGTAATGTAAATAATATTTCTATTGCTTACTTAATTTTGCATAAATAAATTTGTTACAGCCTACATGGCAAAAAATCATGAAGAATACTATTAGTTTTTATAAAATATAATAAAATTTGATAAATTGTACCTGTATTATTTGATTAAATTGCAATAATTTAGATGCAATCATCAATATAACATGATACATGAATTAAACAATTGCAGGATATGTTGTGATAATTTCAGGATGTACATACATATTTTAGAGGCCGCATTTCAATATATGATGCTAAAAATAGTTCATGTTACGCTATACTATAGATTTTTAGTACTGGTAGTGTATATTGAAATATGGCCATGATTAAAAGATATCTTATGCTATTTAATGTAAAAATACAAAATATAAAAACAATAGATTGGCTACATAAATATAATACAATTGCAATTAAAAGTGAGCCGTTTGTCGATCGATTTCGATAATATCTTCGATAATCTCTTGAATTCGCGTTCCAATTTTCTTTGCTAAATCTGCTTTCTCATTGTTGGGTAAGAAAAGGTAACGCCAAACTAAATCACCATCAATAATGCCTCTTGCTGGGTTTCCTTGATTTCGTATATAACTTTTATACGTGCTAGATAAAAGAAAAGATAATAATATTCTCAATTATTAATTAAAGTGAAATAATTAGCAAATATATCTGTATATAATTATAATTAAAACTTGCCGATAAGCTTTTGGATTTAAACCTGCAATATGACAGATATGCGTAACCAATACATTTTGTAACATAAGTAATCTCCGATATGTTTTTTCTGGAACTGGCAGAATGTAACCAAGGCTACCATCCAAGGATGCTAAAATGTAAAAAGAAATTTGCATAAAAATATTTAAATATTGAAAATATTCCATTAAAGAGATATCGCTATTTTTTTAAATATATATTTGGACTTACCGTACATAGTAACATGTCTTTTATCAGCGCCAGAAAACTGTTTTTTATCGTTTGCCGGATCAGTGATTCGACATTTAATACGAAAGAAAGTGTTTATTTTTTGTCCTAAATGAAAATCTGCTTTTCTAATTAACTTTTGACCTCCCAGACTTTCTCTGGACTCCGGTTGATACATAAATAAAGCTAAATTGCTCTCTCCATCAGCTACAATAAAACCTAAATTTGAATTATCAATTAAATACTCTATTGTATACACTTCTGCAGGTCTAAAATCCTGTAATAGAATAAATTATATATTTTAAATGCAAAATTTTTCAGAAGTATATAATGTATGTAAATTTGAAATTAGTAAATAATACTCACTCTGCTGACAAGAGAAAGTGTTCTATATTCTTCCTGAAATCTCAACAAACTAATGGATTTATAGACGTCAGCTATCAAAATTAGACTTTTTATACTAAGCATTTGATGAATATAGATCTGAGTATCGATAAAAGCGACCCCAACAAGATCATTATCTTTTAATTGCCAAATATAAATCTGTAACGAAACAATTTTTAATGCTATTTACAATATAATTTTTATAGAAATAAATTTAATAGAAATACGATACTTTTTGTCCAACAGCTGACACCAAAAATCCTGATACTTGTGTTATAGCAGTTATAGGTCCCTTTTGTTCCTTTGCATAAATCTGTTTAAATCTATTTTTGGTTAATGGCTGGCCAGGCTCAGGTACTACTTCAATTATATCGAATATAAGTATCTGAAAATTTTTAAAATAAGATCACATTAAAAATAGATGAAGAGCTTAAAGATATTTTCAATATAAATATATAATTTACTCGTCCTCTGCTTGTGATATCCTCGCCGTAATTATAATTTGTTCCTAATACTATGTAACCTTTCAAACCAGATCTCGTTCCTTCATAAGCCAAAGATACATTCTTTAAGCAAGTGACATGTTCCCATTGGTCCAACTCGATTTTTGTATTGGGAATAGTTTCCCACGAAACTGGAGAAAACAGTACAATGGAAAATTGTTCTTGAGATGGATAAAGAAACCTTTCTAGACGTTCTTCTTCCGTAAATTCCTAATCAATAAAAAAACGCATTTATTAATATTAATTTTTAATATTGCCTCTGATATTTGATAAATAGATATTGATAAATATTCTGGGTAATTGAAATAAATAATATTTTTGTCAGTACTTTGTCTTCGCCGTTAAATCTGTAATAACTTTTCAGAGGTTCAGCTGTGCTTGTTATAACACAATAAGTCTTGCTTTCGAGATGATATGTAACAAAATGAGGAGTACATCGCAAAGGGACTTTCCTAACTGGCCATGGAGCATCGTACGACAAATGCGTTGGTAAAACACATATCCTTAACTCTTCCTAGAAAATAACATCTGTGTGTCATCTTATGTATGTCATTTCATTATATTATTATAAACTATACTGTAAAAATACCGTACCTTTCTATTAAAATACAGAAAACCTTGAGGGCAATTAATATTATTAAAAGGCGCAAAAGATGTAACGGGACCGTCAATGCCCATTGGATGTGTACGTAATTCACCGCGTCCAGTCAAAAATATCCAATGTGGATAATCGCTACAGATAAATACTCCATTATATCCAGCAATGTTGCTGAAGTAACGCATGACACAGATGCGAGTGATGTTCCTGTTCCTTGGAACATCTTCTTCTTTGGGTCTTGGACTGCAAAGGAAATTCAATTAAAAACAATAATCTAGGTAAAGAAGCTTCATTGTAAGCTCCATTTCGGTGCAAATAACTGTTATTTTAATACATTAACTAATGTATATAGTATAATTATATATATTCTCTCTCTAAATATTAAAAAATGATATTATTTTATATATTAGAAAATGTAGTATCATATATATATTAGAATTACTCAAACCTTAAATGTCCTGGAATAATTCCATGGTCCAATTTCTTAAATCTCAATTTTAAATATCCTTTTGGGTATCTGTAAGCTTGATAGATTTGCAAATCCGAATCGAGACGTACCAAGAGCATCGGCCGATTTCCATGATGTCCTAGAGCAACCATCAGAATTTCACGGACCTACAAAAATAGATATTATTAAGAACACAAGTTTTTTTAGGATTTCTAAAAAGACATATTTATAGATAAATTACCTGCATATCAGGATGAGGGATCTCATTGATCGGAGTCGATTGTAAAGTTGTAGATTCCATACTGTCATGTAATACGTACTGGCCATAGCCAAAATTGCGAATAAGGTAAGATAATCGTAAATCAGGTAAAGAATAAATTTCCAGCGTTCCGCTGTCTCTATATACAAGTAGCCAGTATGTAGACTTAATTTCTTGCAAATGCCTTTGCCACCTATTATATGAAAATCCATATTATAAAAATGTATTAATACATGATTCTTTAATATCAGAGGTGTAGAATGTGCTTAAAAAATAGTTAGTCAAATAAATTTTATTTTTTTAAATATTCTAATTTAATAAAAAAAAAAAAATAGTTAATAAAATATAAAGTTTGATCAAACATTTTAGAAACACTGTATAACGAGTGGTTAAATAGGAATTTTACCAAGGTGGTTTCTTAGTAGTGCCATCCGATGCTTTTAGATATGATGGTGCAGGCATTTGAAATACTGGAGCATCGCCGTACAATAGATCGTCTTCATTGTCGACATTGCTAAGTACAGACGGTTCCTCTACATTGTATTCTTCTTCAGTATGTTCATCATCTGCGTTCTCAAATAATTGCGTTGTAAAAATCCCGCTTACATCTCTATAAGCGCATAATGCCTCTATCTGAGGGCGCTAAACATATACATATTATACAGATATTAAGAATATTTCATGAAACATTTATGTAATATTAATTATAAAATTAAGAAACTTACAAACAGTAGATTGGCAGTCTGAGCATGCAATCTCGCTGTACCTCTTACTTCTCTAAGTGTCAATAACATCACTTGTCCATCTTCCGACAATAGTGCTACATATGGATCAGCACAACTTGCATGTACAATTGGACATCCAAGATCTATGGGCATATGTTGAATCTGTAATTAATAAAATCAAAAAGAAAATATAAGTATTATGAAAATACAAATGTTATCATATATTTAGCGATTAAATTAATAAAGAAATGCACACAAAAATTAATATGAAAATATTATTTATTTTGCTTCCACGTTTAAAAAATTTATATTGAATGAGATATATGAAATGTTCACATTCATATTTAATAAAATATATTGTGTAAACTAAGGATTGTCTATTGTTAGTGATATTGAATATTTTATTATTAGATACAATTTGTTCATAATAATAATAATGATTAATGTACATACTTGTTCGATGCCTTGCAAAAGACGCACTCCCATTTGAGTAACTTGTACAATGTACCGATTAGCACCAAGGTTACCAGCAAATACTGTACTCCCCTGTGTACTGAATCCACTCTGATCTACCTCATTAATCTCTTGGCCAGTTTGCAGAACCTATGAATAAATTATATTATAAATTAAGGCTTAATTATAATTTGTAGAGGATATAAAGCAATATTTAAATATTATGTTGAAAGTATTATACCATAGTTGAATCTTCTTGACTTAATATCAAGAAAGCGTGAGATCCCTCTTCTGTTCTAATTTCATCATTGTTTAAGATGCCAATGACAGTCCACATATCTTCACAGCCAGGTAATTGAAATGTTGTCACAACCTTTTTATTAAAAAGATTTACCAAAATATAATTATACTTTTGTTAACGTGGCGCTCTGTAATTCGCAAGTTCAATTTTAATAATAGATAATTTTAAATTCTTTCTCTAGTCAATCTACAATTAATTGTTCTTTTCTAAAAATGTACATAAGCATAAATTTTATATTAATTAATAAATGTTTTTATTCTGATTAAAGTAACATTATTAGCTTTATTTAGATTAAATAAATATTCAATAAATTTATATAAAAGAGTGTGCATGATATAAATTTAATTTTATCGGCAATTAATATATTAAAATTTAAAATATGAATTATGTGTAAGATATACCGCAATTCGCCGGCTCGCGTAAAGGAGCACGGCAGTGTCTCGCGCCATGACGCTTGTCTTGCCGTGTCTCCAGATACATATACATAATACATAAATATGTATTAGAAGATATGCAGGTGTGTATGTGTGTG